CCTCGTGTAGCTTTGCGCGAAATCCATAACAAACAAACAAACTACTTCCCATTCGGTTGAAAATCAGCAATTCTTAGTAACAAATGGCGGGAAAAAATCTCTAGTGTAATTTCTTAAAATCTTTCCATAACTTTTTAATGATCTGTTCATGAATACGATTTTTTTTTACGATGGATCATTTGCTTGACAAAGGCATTTTACTATACGTTCAATTTGGCAAAATGTTATTAACGCGCCCGTTTTTATGAAACAAGTTTGTTAACATTTTATAAAACAGGAATAGGTAAAAGTTATCTAAACCGCAAGAGAGAAGTTGACTTAAATCTATTCAGAGTTAGAATTTGTTTATGAGGAAACAGCTTCGTGATATCATTGACATAGATCTGAACATTTTCTGTACAAGTTCAATGAAAAAGCAACTGTGATGAAATAGTTTAATAGAGTCTCTCAATTGCAGAAACAAATAGCTTTAGCATACAACACAACATACAACCAGCAATAACAACTTCAATACATATGCAACCATAAAATCAGCTATAACAATTTCAATACCCATTTAAACATACAACTAGCTGCAACAATTTCAACATGCAATAAAACATACAACCGTTAGCAATCGATGTGTTCGAAGGAAAACGAAGTTTGATTATAAACAAGATTACGACACTTATGATATACAACATTGTTTATTGACAAAAAGGGGACATGGATAAACGTTTCGGAATTTTATCAGATTCCATCTTCAGTATCTAAAGCAGAATAAAATGAATTTACATCAGTCTTTACCACATTTTCAAAGTACAGTCGCTAAATAAAGATGGATGTAAATTGTATATAAAGACCGATGTAAATTCATTTTATTCTGCTTTAGATACTGAAGATGGAATCTGATATAATTCTGAACTGTCCAACTGGTGATCAGTGAGGCAGTTTTGACTCTGATGCGTATAGATGAGGTCCTGTGTATATAACCATGGCAATGTAAGTTTTAATGGAGAACTTTACGTCTTGCTAGTGTTAAGTGACAATTAAAACATTTAAAATTTATGTTAGTCATTTGTGAAGCGATACAAAATATTTCTGAATATATTCTTGTTTAAAGACTTTCCATATTTTGTTATAGATATGCTAACATATTAAGTCTTATTCTCCTTGTATGCGTACACACACACCTGAGCATAATTTCTTGTTAATTACCTGGAAATTGTTGAAACTACAGATGTGACATTGTCCGTTACTTTTCCAATAGACTCGTCAATACTCTTGGCACATTGAGAGTCCACTGAGCCTCCTTGGTCTAGTAGCAAAAAATACACCTTTAATTACATAGCATAATGCATACAATTGTTAGTGAGTCTACAAACTAGTGAAAGAAACGTAACAATTAAAAATTCTTACAAAGATACAGTCATTATGTAACTACAGACTGTACTGTTCCAAAATGTAAATTTTAAGCTATGTGAGAGAACTAACAAATTTTAGATTTTAAGAGCAATTATAGTTATGAAAGCCACGAGTACTGGCTAAAAAAACAATTTCAATTGTAAAACATATAGTTACTGTAACGTTAAATAGCATCTGTACTCAAATTCCAATATGAGGGTCTCGCAATACTAATTTAGAATCGGTCTAATACTTTTCAAACTTAACAACGTCATTTAAGTAATGTTACAGGTATGTGCTAATATTACATTACTGGCAAATGTTACTTCAGTATAAAAAAAATGAAAGAAATACAAAAAAGATATCATTAGATTCATTTATGACTTACTTCCAATCATCTGAATAACATTGTGATCAGTAGAGTGATAATTTCACATAATAAGTATGGAATAGTTGCATTTTTTTTGTTCAATTCTAAATATTACACGATTTTGTAAACTACCCTTTTGTGGAACATTTATTTTGAAAAAGTGCTGAAAAAATTCAATTTATTTACAACTAATTAGTTTGTAAATGTAATTAACCTCTTTTTTTTTATACAGGAAATTAAAATCAAACTCGTAACCTTAATTTCAAATGGTAAAGTAGGACTAAATAAATCGAGTTAAGCACGAAGAATTATTTTCCTGGACTCCAGTCAACAAATTTGTTTTATTGAACCCAAAGTTTGTACAACTGTAGGAAAAAAAGAAAACAGCTTGCTAACCATTGACATACAAAACTTGGAAAACAAATGAAACATGATTAAAATGTGCTTACCTAAAAAATCTTTGAATTTCATTTCTCTCAATTTCTGGAAAACAAATTACCAAAAATAGTCTGTTACAAACACACAAAAGATTCAGTAATTATCCATTTGTCAATTCCCATGGCTCTCAGTGGCTACACAACATAGATTTAAGGAACAATAGGCTCAGATCCAGGTTCTATTATGGAACAGACATAGGGATTTTTAAAACTTTCTGGATGAACAATGATACATATTTTTCTATCTCTTTCTAACTATGATGAGCATAAAAAGCCTCAGCCATAATTGTTAGGTCAGTTAAGGTTTCTTTTGTATCAGAAGTTTAAACTATATTTTAACTTCAAAACAACAGAACTAAAAAATGTTTATGCTTTTCTTACCCGATGTTGGTTTGTGCCAATAAATTGCAAGCAACCAACTCTGACCCAAAATATTTTATGTATTTAAAGATTAGATATTCAAATGTAAAAAAAGATAATGAAGTGACAATGTACAGTTAAGTTCATTTTGCAATTATAAGTGTTTACACTCTTAAATCTTAACTTGGTTATTTTCTTTATCATACATATGGTACCACAAATTTTGTTTTTATCAATTGGATCTAATAACATCCCTAGTGAAGCCTTAAATAAATAGTTTCAGTTTTGTAAACAGAACTGAAAAATCAAAATCATTCTAATATCAAGAAGGTTAGTTAATGAAATTTTTAAGATCCAAAAATGAAAAAAAAAAATTGTATGACTTTCATATTTTGCCTACCACAGACAAAACTAATCACATTTTACAAATAAATAAAGATAAGTAAATAAACCTTTTCTCTCTTGCCTATTCTAGATTGTATAAATGAATTCAGATCAGGTTTAGGTAGATACTGCACAATTCTGTAGAAGTAACTTAACGTTGAAATGTTCGTAAATGGAGACCATTGTACACCAACATGACGTGTATAAATAATACATCCAAACACCTGTCACTTTGTACATTCTTCCCTCAATCTGAAAGTGGGGGTTACAATATAAAAGTTTGATTGTAATACCTGAGAAATATTGATGCTGTAAATTAATGAGAAAAACAAACAAACAAATCAATCATGTGTAAAGCTAGCCTTACCTTTGGAAGTTTCATAACTTCTCGTTGATAGAAGAAAGTTATGGCTGTGCAAAGTTTTTCTATCTCATTAGTCATTTTGCTGATTCGAATTTTGACTTGTGAATCAAAATCTTCAAGAAAACTAGAAATTTTAATTTCTCTCTGTGCTATTTGAGTGCCATCTTGTGAATTTTTGTTTCTCGAAGAACTTTTTGTCTTGCGTTTGCCAGGCATTATATCTGTAACCGACAAAAATCATAATTTATAAATACAGCAGTAGGTTTACTAGGTATAGACACGCTCTCCTTCCATTCATAACAGTTGTTGTTACTACTTAGCAATGCGTACAATATCCTAACAAAACAGTTGGTTGGCTCTAATAAGTGAATCATTTTTTACCTTCAACAAAGCTTCATTTAAGATTGGTTTAAAGGAGTGTGTTAAACACGTGGACTTTTCTTGCCATTTACTTAGGTTCTGATATTGTGTTTTGTGCACCATATTATGTCATGAAGATAGATTAAGATCTCTTATTTTCTATTGGGAAAAGAAGAGGAAAGGGTGGGTGGGTCTCATTGTGACTTACAAGATTATCCAAGAAACCTATAAGATAAAAGCCTCTAATTTCTTTGCTCTGTATCTTGAAGACAAAAAGACACAAGTTTAAGATTTCCTAACAGGGTAGTTAAGTCATAAAATGATTTGTCATGAGCAACAAAGGAGGCCAGTACCAGACAGAAATATAAGAGGGGAATTAATGACTTACTGAAAAATAAAAGATGGGTTTAAAATTTTTACTTTTCCTTTCCTCAGGATTTGTTGTTCAAGGACAGCCTTGAAGAATTAAATGGTTCCTTGCCATATGAATATTGAAATATCATCTCAGAGCCAGAAAACGAGTTCATATAAAACTCGGTCCACAAAGCTGTAGAAATTACTAAATTATCTTATAATTTAATGTTATAAGTTTTTGTGCAGTGATACAATACAAAGCCTAAGAAACCATATTTACAACAACATACTTAATGTTTAATTACAAAGTCTTATCAGAAAATATTATTTGGTTCACGGACAGGCACGTCACAGTGGCTAACATGCCAGGCTACAGGTAAAACAGGCCAAGACTTAAGCCACGATATTCTACTGATCATGCTCTTCACCTTCAGTTGAAAACTACTATAGCCAATCCTGTTACTTGTTAAAAAACAGCAGTTCAAAATATTGCACACATTAATTCTAATAAGTCTAATATCAATACATTTAAAGAAAGTATAATCACATTGCAGAAAGATATACCCGATGTCCTTTCATTTAAACCTGAGGTACACATGTTAACGCATGGTTTCACATCCATTAATCCAGTACTAACACGTGGCTAATGTCAATGTAAATAAAATATACGAGGCATTATTTTTACAGTAATAAAATATAGTAACTTAACATTCTTTGTCGATGCATTTTTTAACTTACATTGAAGTTACAAGCCTACTTAGATGTCAGAATAACTTAATGGCTTAATCTTTACAATTATATTCCGGCTATATTACAATTTACACTAACCCTACAACATTTGTAGTACGAGCAGTTTGGACAAAACTGTGTCAGCAATAGTATAGTTTGATAAAATGTTTTATTTTTATAACTTATAATGATATGCAATGTTTAACTTTCATTACTTGACAATAATAGAAAACTCATGGGAAGAGAGGTTTTATTATTCAGTTTGGTGACGAAAAATATAAAACTTTATATATATCGTAGGATATAGTAAGTAATGTTTGTTTAGCGTAGACCTACATTGGGCATTTACCCAGTCAACGTAAAGTTGTAAACGACCGGTGTAATTTAACTCATTTTTGGACAATAACTTTGTATAACTAGGCAAGTTTTTGCATTAGCTTAAGTTAAATAAACATCGTACGGTTAATTCAAGTCACAATTGTAAACCAATAATACCGATAAGATAATCGCTCTATACCTATTCAAATTTGAAGCTTTTAATTTTAAGTTTTAACTTCTATATTTCACTTTCAGCTTACCTAAGCCTTTTCGACTCCTATATTTATCGATCTTTCAAACTAAACAGCTATCTACAACAAATGTTATCTTTCTATGAGTACCTATCATTATTATTTTGTTATTTTTATCACAACAAATTTTGAATAAATTGTTTATAAAATATTTAATTTCATATTAAGCTCACCTAGTTTCTTGTTTTCGAATTTCGAATTCGTTATATTTTTCTCAAAAGCCAATCACTTTCATCAATTCACCAACGTCATGACAATGTTAGACTAAGGGGGCGCTAAATAAAACTATGAAAAACTTCTATTTTGTTCAAAATTATTTTTCGATAATGAGATATCATTGAAGTTACTAATTTTAAGAAAATTTTGTTTTAATTTAAAAATAAAACATTTTTGGTTTTAGAAATACATGTGTCCCAACTAGTTCAAAATATAATTACTGACCTATTTCAATGCATCACGAATATAATTTTCTATCCAAAACTTCTGCGTGGTGGTAGCTTACTGTGTAGGTTTGTACTTAACTTCAAACAAACAAACCAAATTACTGAACAAATCTAAATTTTCTTTATTTTTTCTTTAGTGAAACAGTGCAACTATGTATTGCTTAATTAATTCATTGGTTTTGAAAGTGTTTATAATCACATGTCACGACTAGTGACTAGTTTTTATTCATCATCAGGGGAAATAAATATAACTTGAATTAAAATTATTTTACTAAATACGGTATATATTATCATTCTCATTTCTTTATTTTTGAAATGCTTAATACGCAATGTTTCATTGTATATTAAACTTAACAGACTTAATTGAAAGAATTTTCAGAAATTTGACGAAATTCTTGAAACGTATTAATTTTAAAAATCTGTGTGTGTAAAAATGCTCTTCAGGGGAAAAAGTAAAAATATTTGCAATTTCAATTTCTTTGGTAATATATGAAACTATACTTGTACTGTACCGTACGTTAGTTAAGTATAATTTTTCCCACTTCATAATTTTTTGTCTCTACTTTTTCTATACCTTTAACACAGGTGTATTTATAAGGAGAGCAGTTGCAGAAAACAACAACAATAGATTATAAGGGCTGGCTTTAAGTTTTTATTTAGTTTAGTTTATTGATGGTATAGTCTCAATAAATCAAAGAGCCCCTTGTTGTATTTAAGTGTTATGTTAAACTAGATCAGAATCTAATCTGATATATAATGTCTACAGGGCAAAAGAGCAGTTATAACATTATGCTATATAGTTATAGAAGTGCACGTCACCAAGATAAGATAAATGGGACAAGATCAAACAATTCTGTAGCTTAATTGGAGCGAATACTGAAGGACAGTATCGCAAGGAATATTTATATGTTTTCTGAGTATTTTACTTGTCTGCAATTTACTTTAGGAGCTACCAAAACCACTTCCTGTGTTGATAACACTTATTCGGAAATTCATTCTTAAAATTAGTTACCTTATAAACTTTAAAGTGATTTTTAAATTAAAAAAAATATTAGCATGTTAACTAAAACTCAGTCAAAATAGATAGAATACTTTGTTCTAAGAAAGTGTTTTGATATAAATTTTTAAATATTAGCTATTTGGTAAATAATTTCGGCTCCTCTAAATCATCTACTTCGCCAAATTAAAAGAGAAAATTCCTAAAATTAGAATTATTTCAAAGCTTAAGTTGCCTTATCTGATTTTTAGAAGAAATAGTTTTAAAACAAGTTCTTAATTTAAAAATATTTAAAATAGGGACACAGTTTTTGGAAAGACGGTTCACTATATTTTCAGTCTATAATAACAGAGGGTGTTATAGATCAACACGTGGAAAGGTTACTGTACCAGTTTTACACTCTCTCGAGTTATTTTTAATAAGTTTCGATCAGAAAGTTGGAACCTAGAGCTTAAATTCTTGGAAGTGGTAAGTGGCTAAATGATAGAAATGAGTTTCAATTAAATTAATCGTTATTTTGTTAGTTTGAGATGAGAGGATTTCTCAGGTGAAAAAGCTAAAGTCTACCGTATGTCAACGTACAAGCCTATATTATTTAATTATTATAGTATATATTTTTCTAAGCTATTTCTTAGCGCTCTCGCTGTATCAGTTGGCAATAAGATTAGCAATAGCGTAAACCATGCAGTAGTGCCATTCCTTCTAGCAAAATAAAAAAGTCAAACACCATAGCTTAAATTAACTGGAAATTGAAATGAATAATCTGCATTATTTTGCGAGAATTTGGTTCCGTATGTATTATTTGGCTGAGTTACAGTTATCATAAAAACGATACATAGGCTTAGCAAGGAAAGCGAAGACTTAGTAACTAGTAACTAAGGGATGACGTAATATTCTATTAGTATTACTACGGTACAGCAAGATACGTAAAAAAAAACTTAGCATTGTTAGAACTATAATTATAAAATTTAAAGAAATTAGATCGATAGAATACCAATATTTATCAAATTAAAATGAATATGTAAAGATTTAGGAAATAACGCATAAGAAAAAATCTGAACTTAGGCCGTTAGGGGTGAATGTTTATTCTGTCACACAGGAATTGGGAGTCATCAGTTGTGAAAAAGACAACAAATATATATATATATATATATATATTTATAAACACAGAATATCTAATTATGTATTAAACTTAAAGCAGTAATATTGCAAAGTATAGGCCTAGTAAATTATACTTTAAGCAACAGAAATATAGTAGAAAAATACTGTTTCAACATACATTGGTAGTGTTACAAAGAAGTACAGTCACACTGTCTATAAGATCATAACAACAACATACTATACCTTATTCACATGTTTATTTCTTATCTTTGTTAACTGAAATGAAAGTGTGCCTGTTGTGGTTCTTATTACATTATTAGATTGTGATACATTTATTAAGGAACTGCACATTTTCTTGGGAAAATATCAAGTGGGATGTGAATGATTTAAAGAATGATCAACCAGTGTGTTGCTTGGTGGATTTTTGGATACAATTATGTACCATTTTACTATAAAGATTATCCGTTACGTGTCTGTGTGAATGTTAACATTCATCACCCATAGTAGGCTAGCCCAATTACATTAATTTTTGTATGATAACTGAAAACTATCTGATATTGTACATGGGCTATTTTGGTTTAGAATTTTAAGATAAAAGGGATCAAAAAGAAACTTAAATAGCACACATATTTTTATACACTTTTGGCTTCTGTTACCCACAGTTGCTTGGCTCGATTAAGGTAATTTCTTTTATGATAACTGGAAACTGTCTATTGATATACATGTGTTATTTTGTTTTAGGATTTTTGCTCAAAAAGGAAGATAAACACTTTGAAATAGGGCAGATTTCCACTTTTTATATACACTTTTAACTTTACATCACCCACAACAAGCTGGCTTAATTACTGAATTTTTTGTATGGTAATTGGATATTGTTCATTGTCATACACAGGCTTCTTTGTTTGAAGGGGGATAAAAAACACCCTGAAATAGGGCATGTTTACACTTTTTTAAAGACCTTTATCTTTGAGTGTAAAGACACAATTAGTTAATCAGATAAAATTAATTATTATCTTTTACAAAGCATGGCATACAATTAGCATTTAATGAGTCATTAGAGATTTAATAACAAAACTAAGATGGAAGGGGAACATTATCCTTTATACAGTTTTTGCTTCCTTAATGGGTACCTTCAGCTAGTGGAAATAACAATTAGTTCAATGAGAATTATTCTCAGAAAAAGTAGGCCGTCTTTCATATACTTATCGACGTGGTGTTTACTTTTTTGAAATTGTGAATGGTGTTTAATGTGTAAAAGAAAAGGAAATAATTTGTAATATTTGTGCCTTTTATATATGTAAAAAATCATATATAGTAAAAAAACGGAATGGGTCGTTAAAAACAAACTAATAACGATCTTTTGATGAAATGTTTAATGATATTTATTAAGTTTTTGTGACTTTGGTTTGCATGTCAAAATGTGTTTATTTTGAATGTGATTTGTATTATTTTCACTTTATATTTTGTTGTAATATATTAAGGTCATGTGGTAAATTTGTTTACGTACTTGAATGTCAGTTCCACCTTGCACACGTTATAATAATATCAAAGTAAGTAATAGCATGATTTTAGATTAGTACATTATAACATAATATAATGTTTTCAGACAACATGGGTCCTCTTGGTCCATCTCAGCCATTCCATCCTCTTAAATAAGTTATAGAACAATATCTATGTATATTATGGTACAGCAGTAAGTCTAAAGGCTTGTACATACTGAAAACGATGTTTTGATACTTGTGGTGGGCACAGCATAGATAGTACATTGTGTAAATTTGTGCTTAACTACAGACAAACAAACAAAATCTATATGTATTTTCTGTCTTGTAGTCTCATAATTAAAGATAATTAAATTCCCACAAATAGGATTCTATATTTGATATTTTAAAACAATATTCTAATTTTTTTACACCTAAACGATTTCTGTTGCAGAAAAAAACAACAGATTTCTGAGGTATTACAGGCTACTAATCATGATAATGATTCATCAAGTTTAACTAAATAATAATTAGATGTAGGTTATTGTATTATTGACAAAAACTTGCTGTTAAAGATTTAATGGTTAATACAATCGCCAGTGAGGCACGTACTACTGTACAAGTATTTCAGAAGGAGATTTAGTATTCAAAAGAGGGATAATATACTTAAATTCATGACTTACTTTTATAACTAGTATGAAAAGTTCTCAAAACCAAATACTGCATTCTTGGAAGTGTACATTTGTAAAGCAGAATTTGTTAATATTAGACATAATTCTTTGTTGTTTTTTTTTTGGAAAGGTTGTTAGTAATTTATTTTAATAACTGATTTATTTCAGTAGCTTGAATATTAAAATATTTTGGTGGAGAAGGTTGTATATTCCAAATTGCTTAGTTCATTCATTTTTATTCTGTTGGTGAGTGCACAATTTTTGGGTGGTGGTTGGTGATTTCCTTGTCCCAGATGATTTTCCTAACATTTTGAATGATTGAAGGTGAGCTATAAAGTAAATGACAGCTTCACCCTGTTTAGTTGATATGTTTTTACATTAATCCTATAATTTTGTTTACTCCTCTCCCTGTCTCGATGATTTTAGTTGGTTACTTTTCCTTGGTCGTGTCAACTTCTCTATTTGTCCAACATACCAGTTGATCCAAGTCATTCTGTAATAACTCAACACATCACCAGCAATCGTTACTAATTATTCCCCATATCAATATTATTAACGTAAATGAGAAAAAGGGAAAAGTCCAAGTGTTAACTTCCTCTGAGGCAACACTACTAGTAAGAAAAGTCCAAACTGACTGGAATCCAGTAATAACAACATTTTGCTTTATCTTACTCTGTAACCCAGCCACCCTACAATTCAACTAACCTCTATTCACACAGTTCCTCATAACTAATTATTTGAGTAGCATCTTATCAAAAGTTTTTTGAAAATGTTAGTACACCAAGCTCATGGTCTTTGAATTGGTCAGATGATAAGGAACGTTCTCAGAAAACTTAACAGATTAGTAAGTCAGATTTTCCATTTACTGAGTTCATAATGGCTTTCTTTTATTGAATCATAGTATACTACATCATTTTGCAAAGCTTCTCTCATCAGACTAAGATTTTTCCCAAGATTAACTAGCCTACAATTTCCAGGAAAATTCTTATCGCCCCTCCTACTTTAAAGTAGGAGAAACAGAAACAACTCTCCAATCTTTGGGCATCTGTTTACTGTATACAGACGTACCTAAAATAAGATAGATCTGATTTTTGACCACCTTTTAAAATCTTGGGAAAAATCTTCTCTGGTTGTGATGCTTTATCTATTTTTAATCTGAATACTTTTACTTGCCTCCAAAGCATCATTAAAAGATACAGGTTAATTCCAATATCTCCCAAAGAATGCTCTTGTTAGAATGGATGAAAAAAATTATCTAAGAGCTTGACCATCTCAATTTTCAACAACAACTTTACCATCAGCATCATTTAAGGGCCCAAATCCCTAATATAAAATTCTGTTTATGTTTAACATACTTATTGCTATTAGTTTATAATTATCAGCTGCTTCTCATGAGCCTGATTTATTTTTAACCCAATCCCGATAAATCTTTAAATCTACTATCACTTTTGAATTTCTTAAACTTGTGCCATTTATTCCCGGTTTTTTCCCTTTATGCTCCTATTTACCTAATTATCTTTCAGTCTGATCTTCCCTGCTGTTCTTTTTATCCTTTAGAAACATAACTATGATCAACCTATTTTTAAAAATCTCCAATGTCTAGCTGATATCACCTTTTAATTCATTCATTACCTCAACTCAGTGTGATAAATCTTTTGTTATAGTCTCAAAATTAACCAATTGATTTTTTTTTATTATCTCAACTTGTAGCAAAACATCAAAAATAAAATGATCACTCTTTCCCAAGTATTCACTTCAACTCTTCAAACCACATCTAAAACTGTATTCCCTGGTTGGCATTCTATCCATTTGGTATAGAAATCTTTCCTGAATCATTTCGGAAAACCTCTTTTTCCTTACTACTTGATTGCATCAGTTTTCTTATTAGTAACAACTCTGATCTCGTTGTACGTTTCTCGGTGCAGTTGTTTCTGTATTCCCTGTAAGTGGTAAACGTTTAGAAGCTATTAAACCAGTATGTTTCTCCATTCTTGAAAAGTAGATAGGTTAATGTAGTACTTAGGAAAAACCAGTTTTCCTTGAATTCTCATGACAAAATAAAGGTTATTTGCATCATACACATAGCCTTGAGTAATGTAAATGTATCTGCTGTTATATGAGGCATTTTTTTTACAGTTGGTCTAAGAATTGCATACATGTATGTTATTTGACCCAATGTATGTTATTGTAGTATATGTGACAGCCTGGAAATGTCTGACCTACATTAGTTTGATATGTAGGTTGTTAGTCGACACTGTTGTTTTTGGGTTCAGTGTAATTTTGTATTATTACAGTTTTGTTACATTTTATATGTGGATGGTGAATGAAATTTAAATAAGTTACTAAATCTTGTTTGTCATAATCTTCACAAATCTGTTTGGTATGTATAGGTACATGTTTAAGTAAAAGCAAAATCAGGAATTAAAATTAAACCCAGCTGCACGATAGCCAGTCAAACCTTTTAGTAAGATGTACCTTTCAGGAATTAAACCCACCACTTTTTTTTACTAAGCTTGTACCCTTTTTTTTATTTTACAAAAAACACAAAATCACAAACACTGATTTAATGTTTGTCGCTTATATTCATGGGCTGATATCACTGCACGGAATTCATCTTGGATTTTATGCTACTTATATTACTTTTTGAAGTTGCAAATGTCTACAAAGGAATGACTTAATGACTTTTAAAATTTACTATTCAACAGTTCTGCTGACTCTATGAGAACATGTTACACACAACCATCAATGTTGGAAGATTGTGTAAAATATTTGTTCTACCCTTTTATATTCAATGCTTTTCATGATTCTGTACTATACTGAGATATCTCGGTTATGAATTATAATGTACGTAATGCACCAGGAAAAGAAGATCCCATACATAATATTTTCACCTTTGATTTTTGTAAAAATTAAACCACAAAAGTCATGTAGTGTAGAATTCCCCAGACCAGGAAGTTTGTTAAAAGGAAAAAAAAACTGTAGTTGTTGGATTAGTTAGTGAGTGCACATGAGTTGGCCAAAAAAACTAAAATAATCAAGCATCATTTCTTATATAAGAATAAAACAATACAAGGAATGTTTTTGGATATTTATTTGGGGGGGGGGCAAAATCCCTAAATTGTACAGTATGGCTTAACTAACTTTCAACTTTGTGTTTTTGTTCTAACAGTATATGCTGTGTATAATGGGGTTTTGTATTTATTGTATGTGGAAGTTATCAAGAATACCAGAAATAATAACCATATTTCTATGAATAGACATTTTTTTTCTTGGTTTGCAATTTTGATAATAATAAAGATGAAAACTTATCAGATAAACTGAGTATTATTTACACATGACATCAATTATTGTATTATTTACACATGACATCAATTATTGATGTATTATTTACACATGACATCAATTATTGATGTATTATTATTTA